GCCCCAGTGCCAAAGATCCACTGTATCCGACCACAGGGAGGGACAACTTCAGGGCAGTGTGATCTGGCAGACCAATATGGACCAAGAAGAAAGGACTAAACTCAGCTTGACACTGATTTCTTCCACATCCTGCATGAAACCACAAACGCAAATCTATGCAAACTCAAGCAGCCACAGCAATTACCTACTGCTCCTATTGACTTGAATTTGTGCTCTCAAGGCACTTCAGTCTCACAGGATCTGCTTCAAAGATCCCTGTTGGCAGTGGAGAGACTCCCACTGTTGGCCACGTTAATATGGACCATGGCATGCATTTCAGCCACAGGTTTAAACAGGCAGTGCAGAAGGAGACTGACAGCTTCCCATTACATACATGTCTGCAGCAGCATGTCTGTACTCCTGTGAGCAGGCACATGGCATTTTCCTCTGTAAGTACAACGTAAAACTGGGAAACACTGTGCAACATTCCCCTGTCTCCCAGAAGCTGGGATAAATAGTGGCACTGCATGGGAATTTGACTGCAGAACAGTGATATTTGCCCATTTTATTTCCCCACCACATCAGCATGAGGTAAGGGTTCCTTGCCTGTGCAGAAATTCACAGGAATTGTCAGAGAGGCTTTTTCAATGAGCTTGGCACTGGCACAGTATTTGAATACAGTCAGGGCAGAGACACCAGTAGATGGAACTGGTGCTTGGCAGAAACGCCAGGTAGAGCAGTTTGAAAATTCTGAATACAGAGATGCTGTGATGGAGCTCCGAGCTTGGGCTTCTGTTGCTGCTTAGCAAATTAACAACTAGAATGACATAAGCAAAAAATGAGGTCCAGGATTTGTGCATTTACTTTCCAAAGCAGATTTCTGAATAATGGCAAAGGTTTATTCGCTCAGCAACATCTTAGAATGTGAACTAGGTGTTTTATTTACAAGTGTCTACCTAGACTGCATTTAGACATAGACACCATACCCCATTTTTCTATACTTTTCATAAATTAAACTTCTATGATAGGTCTGAGTTTAGGTTGATGACATCATGGAAGAGAAATCATGTCAATAACATTCCTAACAATTCAAAGGAGCAAGATTCATTTTGTATAGGCCACACTTGGTACAAAGGAACTCACTGTTTATATTTTATAGGATTTAAAAACATAGTGAAAATGGGTGAAAAGAGACAATGTAACTTTTTTTAAAAGATCTTCTAATAATTTCTACACCTGCTGTATCAAAAAATGTCATATGGAATCATATGTCTTTAGCATTACTGGTCCAGAATTCATTGGGTTTTTTTCCTCATAGGGGGAATACCAGGCATAGCTACAGTACCTTTGGGTACACAAATAAGTACACAAGTTTTGACAGATATATATATATATTTATATATCATGCAATCAACCACTTGTAAACCAGATAGGAAAAGTACTCTCATTCCTTACCTTCCTTGCTATTTAAAGAGAAACATCTTGTTTATTTTTTATGGCACTGTCAATGATAATTTAAGAGCAGGGCTATATTAAGAACACTGCTTTTAACCTTTATTCTCTACACATTTTTCACTTCATTCAAGTCAATGAGAATTCTCTATGTGCAAGAAATCAGAGAGGTATCAGTAGGACGTTATTGTCTAAGCCACTGAAACTCACAAATTAGTTTTGGAAAAAATGTAGGTATGCTATAAAGATGATAGTAAAGATTAGTGCTGGGTTTTTATAGACGTAATTATTGCAACAAACAGCTTTTTGCAAATATAGACAAATTGGAAATGATGACTCGCAATCATACTATTGCTCTTATTTCTGGTAGTTTCCTAAACAGAAAAGAACACTTTCTATGACTACGTATGACACAAACAACATGGTAAAATAAGAGAGGTCTGCTAAATCCCATTCAATTTTCAAACAGGTAGTTGTGGACACAATATTAGATAAATTGCAGATACAAGAGGTACTTAAAAATTAAAGCTGGCAGTTTTTGTTTATAATTATTTAACCTCATGGAATATGATCATCACTTAAGATATAAATCTGAGCTGATGCATGCATTTTCATCAACTTTTACAGCGACAGAAAAAGGACATATATTTTTAGTGGTAGTAACAGGCAATTAAAGGAGGATACTAACTCCTAAAGTTGTTACACAATTTGTTTGCTATGCAGAAAAAACTTCATAGAACACTCCATTTCAAAATGTGTTTCTTATTAGACAGTTTCATAAAAACAAAAGAAAAATACTGTATGATTTACTGATACACATTTTGTTCAGATCAGATTAGTTTATCTCTTTTCTCTATCCAGGTTTTAGTACTTTAAAACACACAGCTACAGCCCTTTTTTGGTAGGATTTGCTAAACAACTTTTATTTTTGACAGCACTAGCAAAACTAAGCATCAAAACCTAAGATAGTAAGCAGTGCATAGAATGTTCAAACTAACAAAACAGTTCTTGTCAAAAGCACTGGTAACAAATGGGGACTTTATGACAAAAGCCTGATCCTGCCAGTGCTGCTCCCTTCAATGTTTTCAAAGTTTTGAACATAACTTGTGTACACAGGATCATCCTCTTTAGAACTGTCCTCAAACTCGGGTAACATAAGCAAAGTGTGTATGTTTCTGTGAATGCTTAACTCTGCTTTTTCTCAAGAAAGCACTTGCTGATTAAACTAGAAAGCACTTGCCTGTGTTAGAAGAAATCTCCAGTTAAACAGAATCAATATCACATCACCCATCCCTTAACTAACATGAACAGAAACATGCACACAGCGCAGAAGGCACTGACAAGCTCTGCTCTGGGATGCCACATGTAGTCGTGCATGAGCAAGGAATGAAAAGCACAAGAGAACAGCCTTGAGAAGCCCAGGGGAATAGAGGCTCTGTATACTTTGTGTGAAGAAACTGAGAAAACCTGCCTTGGTTAGTCCTACAGAACGAATGCTGAGAGAGGATGTGATTGAATGCTGAGAGAGGATATGATTGCAGTCTATTAATACATCCTGAGATAAACACCAGGGAGGGATAAGAGCTATTTCAGTGGAGGACAATGTTGGCAGGAGAACAAATGACTATAAAGTGGCCATGAGTTACACTCATCCTAGCAATTGGAAGATTTCTAGCTAGGAGAGGACTGAGGTTCTGGAGCAGCTTTCCACACCAGCAGTAGCAAAGGCAAAATACTGAAATGCTTCCCAAGTAAAACCTGATCAGTTTTCAAAAGGGGCTATATGATATGGCTGCCTGTAACCATAGGCTGCACGTGGTGAGCGAGCAGATGTTTCCCTGTCCTGTGTTCCTTTACTCATTCCTCCCAAACTCACAGGATAGTCACAGAGTATGTCAGTAGGAAGTCTTTCCACTTCCTGGTTCACAGAGAAATTGAAGACTTTACAAATTAGGCCTGAAAAAAAAAATTATACAGGATGTGCAATTTAAGAGAATTAGTGTTCCTGCACAATACTTAATTGTTCATATCTCCTGAATTTCTGTCTGTTTTCAGTTTTCACTAACATGTTAATTCCTAGTGCCTCAAATAATAAAAATAGCTAAGAAATAAATAATGCATTATTGCTCCAACACTAACACATTCACATGGTCTGTGTGAGCTGCAGCTTGCACATACTGATTGTCAAGAGACCTGTTGCATTCATTTGGTTTCTCACACAGCATGGCAAAGTACAGCCATCCACCCCCAGTCCAGCAGTTTCTCACTCTGTGACATATTTAGTAGTTGGATTTTCAATCCTCTTTTTAAGTAATGTATGCTATTACATGGTTCTATCTTTACATTCTTCTGTAACATGCTAAATTAAGTAAATTAAACACTTAAGTAAAGAAACAAGAGTACTTTCGATCTCCTAGCAAAGAAAATTTCATAGTTTTTTCCTAAAGAAAATTATTACTCAACCTAGATCAAAATAAGAAGTAAAAATATTTTCAAGTGCCACACCCAAGACTGCAACCATACTTTAATTCCATAGCTTTCATTAGAATTAATGAAAGACATACAGTGCAAATGATGAAGTTAGTCTATGCATAACAGCAAGAGGAATACACTCAAAGCTCATCTGATTTAGCCTTGATTTCATGCTCTCCTTCCTCTGCTGGCAGATGTTTTACTGCCTGTGTTTTGGTTTATAAACGTCTGACATCCTCAACAGCAAATTAACTGTAGTTAATTTTTATGCAGATTAATTCTGCTGAAAGTCACACAATAAGAGGCTAGGAGGTTAAAGTCATAATGAAGTGGATGATGGTAATGTCCACATCTGTGTTTTTAGAGTATTGGCAGCATTTTAATTTCCTTGGGACTTTACATAGGATGTTGTTGAAATTGTGCAAGTTTAAGCCAGCAACACAACTGCATCCAGCTGAAACCAGAAAATTAAGAAACCTGGTTCATTCTGCTTGGGAGCTTCAGGGGAAAAAAATTATAGATTGGTAAGTGCTTTTAGTGCACACTGGTTTATATCCCTTTTTGAAGGAAATAAATATTGCCAGCTTTGCCACTACAGAAAAGTCCTAGGAGTCAAAGACCATCACATTTTGCAAAGTACAGTAAACCTCTTCTGTAGGACAAAAAAGACTTTGTACCCAAAATACCTGGAGCCTGTGTTACAGCAACACTGATCCAAAGTTCTTTCTGAATGTAACAATTTCTTCTCCTTTAGCATATGTAAGTTGTTATATTAAGTGCCATTGCAGAACTGACTACACACAGTGCTGCCCGATAGAAAATTACAGAGTAGCCATTTTTAAAGTTACCAGAACGTACTTAGCTGTGTGCCTAAATTAATGTCTGCTGTAATACTTGCAAGGCAAATGAAACAGTGTACTTTGTCCATCAGCACTATGATAAAGAATAGATTAAAAGAACACATGGCTACCATGGCACTTTGTCAAGATACTTCTTCAGTGTTACTCTAAAGTATTTCAGTCAAATTTTGTGTATCTAAACCAAGGACTGAAGAAAATATTGATGCATATTTTTTTCAGGATATTATTATTACTTACCTGGGGGCAGTCTTTGATGTAGTGTCCCTTGTTAAAGCAGAGGTGGCACAGGTAGTTAGGAGGTGGCCTCTTGCTGGGTTTTCTGGCTTCTGAAGAAAGGGATAGGTCAGAGAAATGCTCGGTGAGGGAGCTTAACCCATCCACAATGTTATTAAGAGAGCCATAAGGTGATGCACTCTTGTAGAGACTGCTGCTCAGAGCCTGCAAAAGAAAACAAATAAGTCACATGCAACACAGTACTGTATTAAGGATTGTTCTGAGGGAGATTTGAATAGGGGATAGATAAAAATAGCAGAAAAAACAAAGTGATTATTTTTTTTCTTAGGAACACGGCTACACATTTGAGGGAAGCAATATACAGGCTATTAATAAAGAGGCTTCACAATGGCAGGGCAATGCAGCTGGTCACCCCACTGCTGAAGAAACTTTTGAGCTTGCTATGATTCTCTTAGTGCAACCTTTCCACTGAGCAATGATTGCTTTCTTGTGTTTGGCCATAATGCATTCATAGTACAGTTAGATTATGCAGGCAAAAAGCTGCAAGAACTCACAAAACAGAACCCTTTTGTATCCAAAACTACTTATGCAAAGAATACTGAAGGCATGGAAAGGAAAGAACACCAAGAAAAATGCAAAGTAACTTCCAATTTCCAATCTGGTTAATGAGACAGTCAACAGAGAGTCCCATGTTCAAATAATAACAACAAGCATTGAGAGCTACATCTGGTTTGGATTTTCTGAGGGGGAACCTACTGTGATTTAAACATTTCCTGAAAAACAGTAAATACCTAGGTTCTGTACTTCACCTCAATAGGATCTTCATTCTCTCAATCTGCAAATCACAATCAGTAGCTCCTAATTTGCTATTCAGTAGTCTTGGAACAGCAGGAAACCCATCAACACCTAAATAGGTATTCTCCCTAATGGAGATAACAAGGATTAATTCACTTTAACCACTTAAGGTCCAAAAGAAACCTTAGTGGAGTTCAAAAAGAAAATTAAAACTCTTTTTAAAAATTAACATAACAATGAATCACTGTAGAAATAGGACCAACTATTGAGTGTCCTTTCCATCCTCACATGATGGGACACATTTCACAAGGTGTTTCCACCTTAGGTCTGCAATGCTTTGCTCATGTAATTCTCCTGCCATCAGAGAATTACTGCTGGCTTATAGGAAAGTGAGGTAAGAAAAGGTCCAGCCTGTGATTCCGTGCTTTAATTCTACTAAATTCAAATATTTCAATGGGGTCTTTATATGTGCTTTCATAAGTTTATACATGTTATATATATATTGAAGACTGAAATGCACTGAAATTGATTTAGAGTTTGTGAAATACACTGAAATTGATTTAGAGTTTGTGAAATTAATCTGAAATTGAAATGAAATTAATTTCAGAGATCTCAAACATTCAGGGTGCCTGCACAGTGAGTGTTTTCTGAGTGACAGCTGCATACCAAAAAATAATATTAAAGCTCTAGGCAGAAATACCTGGGTGAGCCCCAACTATCCCTGAATTCCATCTCTCCACAGATGGTGTACAATGTACAGAAGAATCTGCTTCACCCACTTGCACTGTAGTCAAACACAACATGCTGAACTCCACTGACTCCTCTTGCAAAGCTGAAGCTGGTGCACAGCAGCAGGATCAATTCAAGAGGTCCCAGAGTGGAATCTGACCTCACCTGGGACTTCACATATGCCCTGGGGCTAAAACATCCTGTGTAGCATAGCTCTGTGCTGTGCAAGATGATGGGGCTGAGAGGAGAATCAGCCACTTTGTTTCAGGGGTTAAAGCTGCAGATTTTAAAAGGAAAAGGTATTTCAAAAACTAATAAAAAGAGTTTAGCTGCTTTAGCCATCAAGCAACCAAAGAGACCTCCAATGGTCACTGGAATTTAGTTCTAGGATTTATTGGATGCTATTGGAATGAGAAATTCTTGGCATCAAATTTTGAAAAGGAAGAGGAAGTGCTGTGAATGCCAAAATAGTGTTAATTAAGGGTCTTCAAGAAGTTCTTGTCTCCCTAGGAGCCACTTTCTCTTATATACTCTTGGAAAAATATACAATCCTTCTTTTTAAGAGATCCTCTTGCCAAGAGATTCTTAAAGTACTTCACCTGCATTACACCCATTAACTTTGCAAATTCCTTATTATCTGATTTTATAGAAGGGTGAAAGTATGGACACAGAACGTATGAAGTCGTAAATGCTTTACCTATTGCCAAAATCTGAAATATCTTCTGGGGATCCAGAATAACTCCTGCCCATCAGAAGGTTGCTATTTTTTTCCCCCAGGGCCAACTCAGTAACAAACCAAAACATATCTGTCTGCTGCATATAGTGGGCTTTGAACTGGACATATGGCATGCAGTGATGACCTTTTTTTCCCTACACATCCTTTACACTGAGCTATTGCCCTTGTTAAAAGGGAGCAATTTGGACCCACAGCTGGGTATTATGTAACTCACTCCTCCACCAACCCTTCCTGGCACATTTCAGCTCAATATTGAAAAACAAGGTGCAGTTTGGCACCTTGGCAACAAATCTTGACAAACTTTTATTTCAACCGTGGCAGCCAGAAGCTGTGCCAGAGGCCAGGATCCCATCGGACCATGGGCTGCACTGACACTAAATCCTACCCTTAGCAGCCACCATGGCCAAAGAGTGGCACACTGCACTAAAAGTGGCCACCTGGTTCAGCTGGCAGGGCACTTGTGCAATGCATGCCACACCTGGACATGGCAAAACATTCAATACACATACGGCACCATGAAACACTTCCCTACAATCATCCTGAGGCCCAGTGTTAAAAAAGGAAGAAACAAAAATAATATCCCAGAACATGACAGTAAAGGAGAAGACAGACATTGCTGATGACACTGGTACTTTAAAGAACAATGCATTCCTTTGGAAAATGCCTAGAGGATCCCAAGATGCAGCCCATCCCTCTGGGTATAGTCAGGCGAACCGATTCAGCAGTTCCTGCCAATCTGACCTGGAAAATGGCCTTAAATCTGTTTGACTCCAAGTCAATGTGAAAAACACATCAATCTGGCACTTGAAAGTTGCTATAAAGAGCACCAGCACAAATGGTGCTACATCCTGTTTCTAGTTCTGGAAATCTCTAGTTCTTCAAAAAGAGATGAGGAAATAAACCATTCCCAAAAGCCAAGTTATATAATAAGGGTGATAATGGGAAAGTTCATCCCAGCCCTTGGAATCAAATAGTGAAAGCTTAGGGCTTGTACCAAATGTGATGAAATGGTGATTGACTCCATTTTGTCATTGTAAAAGACAAGGGGTGAATGAATATTGCTGAGATACAAAAAACAGTTTTGGTTTGTGTGTTTTGTTTTTTTTTTCTTTCTGGGGCACTCAATTGAGCAGAACAGGCAATTCAGCCCTTACAAAGTATTTGCACTGCTACAAAGAGGATTTTAAAGAACGGTTTTGAATAAAAACTTTGAATTATATTCACACCAAAAGGGGATGTCCAGGGGCGTGATTAGAGTGCCAGGGAGAGTGATGATGGCCTCAGACAGAAAACAGAGATGAAAAAACAAATGCATTCTGACTCACTCTGGTCTCAAGTGTATTAGTACTCATCTGGGAGGTGGCAGGGAGATTGCTCCTCTCATGAATTCCACCAAAAGCAATGACTTGCTCTGTGTTCACAATGCAATACTACCAAAGCCAATCTATTTCTTTAAATGGCAGACAATAGTGCCTCTCAAATAGAGTCTTATTTTGAGCTTGAACAGGCGAAAAGGATTTGGCAGTGAAAGGGTTAGTGCTCTGAAGGCGCCTCAAAGACCACACTGCATGTCCTAATTACAAGGCTCATCAGCCCAGCTGCAATGAATTCAGGATTTCCTTATCTTGCCATACTGGGGGGATGGGGAATCTGGTGCTAAAACTTAGAAACAGGCCTTGGTGGGAGGTTCGAGCTGATAATGTAAGTTTGTCTATTTGTTTGTTTTTTCCTTCCTATGTAACTTGTTGATTTAATTGAATATGAACCAAACTGAAAATCTTGTATTGTATTTTCCAAAGGTAACCTCACTGCTGGGTAGATCTTTAAACTGTATCTGTTGCTGCTGTTGGGAAGCAGAGTTCCCTTTGTTATTTGTTTGCTCAGTGTTTCCAGTTAAAGGGCACATAATCGGTAAGGTTGCAGTGTGGTCCTTTGTGAAAGGCAGCTATTGTCTTCTATAGCTTCCTCACTCTGATTTCCAGTTGGGTAATGTACGTGAGTGACTCAGGAGTTCCAGTATCTAATTCACCTCTAAGATATTCCTAGTTACACGAATGATTGGCTAATGCTCTTGATTCCCTTGGCCGGGTCCCTCCCTTTCAGAAACATCTTTTGGGACTGATGTGTGAAGAGGTAGAAAAAGAAACTCTGAAACCCTTGCTTTATCTCTTCAGTTTCTTTTTTAGCAATGGTATAATGTTGAGAAGAAAGACAACTGTTGCGAGTATGCAATGAAACATTCAAAGATAAATAAGAGGCAAAGTCTTACTTTGCAAATTTCCCTTTGGTGTGTATAGCTACTGCTTTATCTGTAAAGGTATGTTTTTAAAAGGGACTAAAAAGCACAGAGAGCACAACAGCCTCTCAATTATGACATTTATGTCTGAGCATCTACCAGACCAGCTGGTATTAATAAGCAATGGCAACTTGTTCATGTGGGAATGGTATCTTCTTATTAGGCATGGACTGGAAAAGTAGAGGTATCTCTGGAAAAAACAGTTTCTGCCCCAAGTTCGGTTTGTGTTGCTGGACCCTTAAGGTAGTGAAGATAAAGATGAACCTATCCACCATTATATAAGGCTAGAATGACTTGTGCTGGTTGATGTGGGCTGTAACTGGCCAGTGCATCTGTCTGATGCTCTAGAAGTTAGTGTGATTTGTGTTTATGGTTCTCTCTACATTTGTAGTAACTGCACGTACTGAAGTGAGGTCCTGTAGCACTTCAGTGGTCCTACAATCTAGTCCAGTCATCAATGCTTCCACAGCATGATATAGGCTGTAATCAAAAAGCAAAGAATTTTTGATGGCTTATTTTTGCTGCCGACCTAATAAAGCAAACACAAATAAAGAAGTCTTAATGGACAGAGTTAAGTTTAAGTCAACAGACGCCATGGCTGTTTGAAGTCTGTAGGAAAAGAGAGTTGGATTGTCCTGTCATCAGTATGGGAAAAGTAAGGTTTTAATCTGCTGTAAATTGTAAATATTTTCCAGCCTGTATGACAGTAACCAGACTAGCCATGCTACTCATTAGCCCTGCACTGAAATATCAAAAGGTGCTAAAGTTATCAGCTTGGATTTTCACAAAGATAAGAACGGAGTGGTCCCTGTGCTGTGTCATGGATAAAACAGTAGGACAGACAAGTCATTGCCCTCAGTTGCTGCTTTCATGTTGGAGGAGAGGGAAATCTGAGCTACCCAAACAGTAATTCAGTGGCTTGTATGTGTAACATACAAAACTTAACCCGAGGGCCTATAGCTGTCTTATTTCCTTGTGCCCTAAGGCTTGCTTCTGGTGTGGGCTTTATCCATGGGGCCATGCAATAGGTGTGAAAGCACAACAGTTGCACCAGAAGATAACCATGTTTGGAGAAGAGCACTTCAAATCTCTGACTTCTCTGTGCTTCAGCTCTTCATACGTGGTTAAAACAGTTCCCTAGTTTTGTCCCCAAAGAAAACATCCAATGCAGAATCACGGAATAGAATCATGGAATTGTTTAGATTGGAAAAGACCTTTAAGATCATCATCAATGTTAATGGCCAACCCCAAAGCCTTCTGAAAACAGAGGGATTAAATGAAAATATGGTAATAAATTTAGTTGTATTAATTTGAGCCAGAAGAAATAGAGAAGTTTAATTACCAAGGCTGAACTGGAAAACCTCAAAAACTGCTCCTGTATGGCTTGTGTCTGCTTTAGCTCCTCTGATAAATTGGATACTTTTAACAAAAAAACAGCTTAAGAGTTTGTTCAGTAACATTTTATCATTGGAAAACTAAAAGCCAAGATCATCACTCAGTAAAGAAAATGTTTGCCTGGAGCAAGAAAAAAAAAAAAGACTCAGGTTTCTGTTTTCTTCTGAAGTCAACTTTTAAATCAACTGTCAAAAAAATCTGGTCTTTGGCCTGACTTTTAGTAAAATCTGAATTACTCAAGTTCTCATATAAAACCAGAGAAAAATGTAGATTAGCCAAGAAACCTTAATGCATTCCTGACTAGTTAGACTAGCCAAGTATACCTTAATTCATCTTTCTTCTGCAGGGGGGTTTTAGACAAATACATGTTTATGTTAAACTGCTAACACTAATGTCAACTTGTAAATATCTTCAGACAGACGGCACTAGGCCTTTCCTTCTGCAGAAACAGTATCTTAAGGGGACAGCTACAAATGCAGCGTGACCTGCCAGTGGTTGTAAAGCGAGTCATTGAAGGGCAATGAATCTTTAATCCAGCATACAGACCTCTCTAATCTAGTTATTCCAAATCTGACAGCTCAGCTGGCTGTGGCTTCTCAGGCTGTAATTGCTGAGACTCTGCAGAACAGCAAGTGGGTGCAACAAGCTCCTCTGAGCATGACTGGTATGTCCCTTCAATCACAACCACCACCTCACCTTCTTTAGATCTGCTGGTCTTTAACACTTGGATCCAAAGCTTTCAATGAGTTTCTCAGGTCTTTAAAAAATCCTGCTCCCTCTGTACTGTACAGTGGTGAAGTTATGCTGACAGCTCAGGAATTGCTCAGTCATCATCTCCAGGCTGGCTGGAGCTCAGGAAAGCCTTTTGGCTTTCTGCTAGTACTGTGACCCTCCTTATTTCAGACTCAGGGAAGGGTTTGCTGTGGATATCAGTGAGGATACTAATTTTTAACAATGTACAGGCCTTTAGAGGCAGATGTGGGAGAGGACAGAGATTTGCTCTGGTCAGAGGCATGCAGTCTTGAAGGAACTTTCTAAATCTTGCACCAAGTTCTGCAGGGTTCCTTTTCATCTGCTGAACACCCAACAACTGCCCTCATATGTTCAAGAGAAGCTCTTATACATGAGCTCTATATTAGGGACAACAGAGACCATTCACATTGCAAATTGCTTTAACACATCCCCCAGGAGCCCTGGATTCCCAGGCTGTCCCCTGGCCACCAACCTCCCTGACCTTTGGGGAGAGGCCACACTGTTGGGTGGTCCCTGGCAGGCCCCTCTGTCCTTCTGCCCAGAAACAAGTCCTTTTGCTCCAGACAGGGGTCTCCAGCGAGGAGCAGGTCATGAAGGCTGTACAGCATGAAGTGAGGGGAGAAACGGATGGACATGTTTTGATCCTTGCACTTTCTGTTAACATCTCAGCTTCCTGCAGGAAATCTTGTCTCAATCTGACCTGCAGTCTGAAAAACAAGAGTCGAGTTTCCTCTCATTTGGTAGGTCTTTTGACACTCCAAACGCAAGAAAAATAACACCCGGAAATAGATATGTGCCTGTTCAAGACACACTTAGGAAAGCATTCACCTCCTGTGCAGCTCTTGCACGATGAAAGGTTTTGCTACGAAATGTCCATTTTGGGTTAAACAGAACTCCAAGTCTGAGATAGTTTTGTTTATATCATTTACATCCAGTAATGCCTTCTTGGCACAGAAACCTCTGCGCCGGCTGCCAGAGTTTAAAAGAGTCACAGCTAAGGTCGCTGTCAGAGGTAGGAACAATACATCATCTGCCCAGAGCGGGCCCCTCGCAACGCGCCAGGGCCTCAGCTCCTGCGCTCACGGGAAGACAAAAACTTTTATTAAATTGAGTATGGTGAGGAAAATAAATTATTTCTATTACTAAATGACAGGCTGGAATTTCATTCTGTGACTCCAGCTTTTAGATAGTTATATCTACTTTTAAAGCTTCCCTCTTAATCAGCTGTGATACAGCACAGCTTGAAGTGTGATCTCAGCAAGCAAACCTAAAACATCACAATCTGCTTCAGATAAATTACAAAATAACAACTGAGAAATCTGGTTTCAAAGTAGATTTGAGGGTTTTTTGGTTTTTTTTTTCTTCCCATGCTGTGACTGTTAGAGGAATGAATCTATTATTTTACTAATTTCAGTTGCAATGTATGTTAGAGAAAGATGGTTATACAAGAACACCTCTGTATTTTAAGGATCACTGATGCCCAAATCCTCTTAAAAACTAGTCCTCTATTTTCAGGGTGCAGTGACTGTACAATAGATCATTTGCTTTCCTTTCAACCACAGTATCCACAGCCCTAATGACTACTTCCAAAACAGTTGCCTAGCAGACTCCCTTAATATGAAGAAATATAGGCTGCAACTCCCCTGCAAAGACCACTGAGATACCTGGAACTCCTAGAAGCAAGAGAAACCTGTGAGACCAAGCTGATCCCCTTAAAGTGTTTGCTTGGTTGGCATTTAGCTGGATGAGATGTAAATACAGATTTCCAGGTACCCACAATCCTTCTATGTAAGGTATTGCACTTGTGTTCATTGAAAAGACACCAAATCCTGCCACGTGCAGGGAGTAGGTGTGGGTGGCCAGTTAATACAGCAGGAATTTACCTCTGCTTTGCATATGAGCTCAAGTCCTGGATCATGAGGGCATTCGCTAATCTTCAAACCAAATTTGTCAAAACACAAAATGTATTTCTTAAGAAACAGGTTTGGAAGACCAGGCAGAAGTTCTCCCATCAGCAGCAGTTGAAGGAGCTAAGAAAAAGGGTCTACATGAGGCTCCTTAAAACTCCTCTTAGTCAAAGTATTGGATTTGTTACTAGTTGGTTACACCAAAACATATGACAGAAAGTAAGAAGCTAGGCTTGTGATATGTTAAAATTTAAAACCCGCCAAAACTCCCCACAGCTGTGCTGGCCTGGCTAGACAATGAGGGACAGGGAGAAAGGACTTGTAACCCAGCATTTATTCTGCTTTCCTCAAGTGAATCTGTCTATAATTTTAGATTCTACTTTTAGCAGATCACAAATTGTTTGCTATGGTTCTGAAAGTAAGACTCAACCTGCAGGAAAAATGAAGTGATCCAGGCTTTTACACTTATAAAATACTGTCTGTCTGAATTGTGTCAGCATTACTGTAAGATTTGAATAGCTTTGTAAAATTTAATTAGTTGCTTTGATCTATTATAATTACTCTGGAACCCACACAGAACCTAAGTAAACCATGAGGAAAATACTTATAGTATCTCCATTTAATTTAGTAATTTCATTGTTGCTTCCTAAAAGAGGAAGAACAATTCCAGAGTTAGCAAAATGGGCATCGGGCCATTGGCAATTTTTCTGGGGAAGACAAACTGGGGAGCGGTATGGGTATTAATTGTGACAATTCATTAAGCTGTTCAGGAAAGGGAAGGTTATACCCAGTATCACTTTTTAGGTAGCATTTTTATGTATACATCTAATTTGGGTAACAGGATACAACTGCTTTTGTTCCTACGCAAATATATATCATCAGAATTGTATGATTTGCCTTTGTAATATCTGTGCCTGCACTTTTAGGCAAGTGCACTGTGTCATTATTTTTCATGGTTCTTAAAGCAGCATGGAAAAGATTCTCCGGTCTTACATTTAAATTTCACTTAAATTATGTTTCAAAGTCCTTTTATGGTGCACTTAAACTCTGATCTAGAAAACTTTCCTTGGTGTTAATCCCCACTTGGCATCTGTCAGTAAAATGCAATCTTTTCTTCTAGTTGTCAATTACCAAAGTAACAGGACCATCTCTACAAGTTACCTATCATGTGCAAGTACAGAAAATCCCCCAAATGTAACCAAAAAGGCCGGGGGGGGGAAGAGTGGCATTGGCTTTGGGATAAAAGCAGTTCACTACACCTCTTGGTTCCCTACTTCATTCCATACATTTCATAAATTAATATATTGGTTCAAGTCAGACTCGGTTGTCTGATCATTTGTGCAGTTCACTGGAGAAGGATCTTTCTTTTCTCTTCTGAATAACTGAGTCTGTGTCTGCAGAGCAAAAGAGGAGTGGATGAAAAATCATTACCCAACACACAGTTACATCACCCCTTTGTTTGGGTGCTTTGGCATGGAAGACACTGTAAACGCATAAAATAGCTGTAAATGAAAGCTCTGTGTATAAAATATAATTGTAACAAGAATTCTACATCCTTTTACCTCCAATTATAGGTTGGTGTGTTTTGCTTTTCTATATACTGCCTGACAGGTTTTTTCCAACATGTGAATGTACTTGTGAGGCAGAAAAAGCATGCCAGTGCTTCTCCCAATGAGAAGTTTGCATAGATACAAAATCCCAAGTGATTTAAAAGAATTGGCAACGATTTTCAGCTAATCAGGAATAATAAATATAACTGGTCTACCATCTATTTCTTGATTTTATTTTTCTTTTCAAGCTATCAAAAAGAAATCAATAGTAAAGCAGAAAGTGCATATTCCTCTTCTTGAGGACTTGATTTACTTTCAGCAATTAATATTTTAGTTCTTGCCAGCTTTCCAAGCATGGTTCTCATTGTGATGTGAAAGCAAGTAGCTGCAGATTACTATGGTGGATAATAATTTCACTGTAAATAAAGTAAAGCCCAGGTGTAAGTCATGTTTGAATTAGTTAAAGCTGGAGGTAGGGCAGGTGTGCTGCAGAGCTACAGCAGCATTTGCTGGGGGCAGGGGCAGTTTGTTGGTAAGGACACAACACCAGAGGCTCTGGCTGTTGGAGCAAATTCAACACACTCCCTTCTTACTTCTGGGAACTTTCTGCTGTTCTTAGTCAGGTAAGGAAGCCAAAGTAAAAGTAACGTAATTGTGTTTAGAACACTTTCTCTGGTGAATCAAATTTGGCTCTTGTGCATTTCTTCCTGCAATCAAATTGCTATTAGGCAATTCAGCCTAAGTGTCAAGAGTAAGGAGAGTATTTGCTACATGCAGGACTGTCCACTTGCAAAAACATACACAAACAAAACACTTAATCCTGGACAACAGAGAATCCTAAAGCCACACCAAGGTGCTATAAATGGAAGAGTGTAATTTGGATAATAATTTGAGTTTCTCACTTTTTATACAAGATATAGATCTTATTTTCCGACTCCACTTCCTATAGTACATTCACACCTGGGGTTTTTATTTCCCTGGCAAACGTGGGTGTTTTCCAAAGGCCACAGAAGTAGCAGAGCAGGAGGCCACAGCTGCAGAGATAAGAACAGGGTGCAAAAGAGAATGCTTATAGACATAAACCCCTGATTTTTTTGCATTTTAAAGCATATGTCCAATTGGAATTAGGAACAGAATAATTATTAGCTCAAATACCTGTAATAGGACCTAAGATTTTGAGACCAGCTGTGAAAGCTCACTTTGTGTGCTGAGGCAGCGTCATCAAAAGGGCTCTGGAGCTGGCTGCGTTGGGAGAACACAGACTGGTCTTGCCAAGACCTCCAAATGCATGTTGTCCTCTCATTAACATAAGAGATTCAGCTCCCTGGAATCTCTTATGAGGTCTGATGTGGGAATTGACATTTAACTTCCTGAAAAGCATTTTAGAATTGTTTGGCACTTTAAGTAGCCACAAAATACCGGTAGTGTATAATCATCCTGAGGCAGAGAGCACAAGTCCCTGCAACACAGGAATTGTTATGCTAGTGTCCTTTCAATAAAATTGAGAGAAGGTTAAGGGCACTCCAATGTTAGTACTTACAGTGAGAAAAAAAAATAAAATTAGGAAATAAATCAAATAGTAATCATTATTATTAAAGGACATATTCAGGTACTGAAGACTGCTACTCTGTGAGTCTGTAGCTGAGAAAGCAAGAAGTCCTCACTTGAGTGCCTAGCACATTAAGCACCCTATGGATCAAAAACATGCTGTTTGTTAGAATAACTAATAATGTTGGTCAAAATTAAACAAACTGGACATGTTTTGGAACATATGGCAATTTTTGCTAACCTGCCTCTCTGTTGATTTTGCCTTCAGACCACACTGGTTGTGAGCAGCATTTGGTTTTCCCTTTTAAATCTTTTAATCATGGCTGTTCCCAAAGATACTGCATTTAATTCAGGGAGCCAATGGCCTGATCTGGTATAGCAATCCTTATATTCTTCTGATACTAAGAGAATGGAGATTGTTTTTTTTAGTCTTATAATTACCCTCCAAATTACTTCATCTAGGCCAAATAACAGATCTTTCTTCATCAAGTATCAGCCTAGTATGTAACCTCCTAATTCTATGAAAGACAGATGGACAACAAGTTTGTCTGATAAAATATATTTTCTGTAGAACTGCCAATTTCCTCCCCTATGTTTTTGTTCTTCGAGTATTTCATCAGTTTTTGTTGTTAGCTTATGAATGTCACTGTCTTCTTTGGGAAGTTACCTAATCTCTCCCAGTGCTTTAGACTTGCTTGTTTCACAGGGATTTGAATGTTATTTTCCACAGCATACTCTGAACTTTTCTTAACTCCACACATTTTTCTTTCCAAGCAAGCGATCCGTACTTTACTGCAGCAAACTGAACTTGCTGGTGTGCTGTCATTCCCAGTCAGTTCCCCTCTTGCCTATAAGGACTGGATCTGGAAGTCTCTAAGTCAGAAACATGAAAATGGTGATTATTTTCTCATCTAGTACGTGCAGTTATTCATGCTTAAATAAAATCTAGTTTATATCCAGAAAGTGGCTGCTGTAGAGGCTTCTAGAAGAAATTTTGCTCTTGAAAGGCACAGAGTAGAGAAAAAAATGTGACTATTATATTATGATAATTTCTAGTTGCTGCTTGCTGTCTCTTCTTTACCAAAGAGAGCACTGACCTGGTAGGATGCCTCCTGTTAGTATAGAAAAATACCTTATGAGTCTCTTGCCCCCTTACTCTAGGTTTTTCAATTATAACCCTCAATGACAAAGCCACAGATACCTGGCTGTGTCTCAAAGGCATTAAATTCCACATAACCAGCCTCACAACAAAACCTCAAATACTTGGCTCTGATGGATGGTGTTATAATGAGGGTGGAGCTCAGTTCAATGGCCAATTTATTGCATCTTAATGGTCTAACATGCTTTTATTTCATATCTAGGACAACAAATGCTGCCATAAAGTTTGGCTTAAAGCAGGTCTGTTTTGCAAAACGAGTCTTGCATACAGAACAAAACACTCATTGTTGCTTTACTGTTTAAACCTTTATTATTTTTTTTTTTCCTTGGTACAATGGGCTTTTATGCACCAAACAGCTGTGTTCATCATGTTTATTTAGAAGGCATCCATTGTAGTGGAAAAAGTCTGGAGGACAAAAATCTTGAAGTACAAGACTACTCTGTGGGTGCTGGCATTTTTATTTTTTTGCTGTCCTGTTCCTTTGGTCAGTATGCAAGTCACATACACAGGCAGTGCCATGCAGACTTGCAAACCCTGTATAATAGCAACTTTTCACAAGTGCTGTCTCTTATTCCAAGTGTTCTTCTCCAGAAAGTTTCAATTGCAAGGCAACATACAGGACACACAACTATTTTACACCCTATGATCCTATCATTTTTCAATCTGTTGCTATTTTGGACCCTCATTAGGTCACTTTCCAAATATTGTGTACAGCTATGTGTCAATCATTGTCACAGCTTGGCTCCAGGCTAAGCCAACCCAGGACAAAACCGTGAGGGGAAAAAAAATGCCAACCAAAGCAAGCACTGTGTAGAAAACAGTCAACAGTTTGACTGTGGAAAGCTATGTGTTGTTCCAAAGATAGCATAAGCCCACTTGCTGCAGAAACAGCATACAGTACTAATGCTCTCCAAAATAATTTTATGCGGTTGAAATGTGTAGTGTATACCCAATGGCATCTGCAAATAAACAGATGTTAGAATCTCAAGAATTAAGAGCATGACATTGTCGGAAACTCTTGGGTGACTCCTGCCAAAAAGGCAGTCTGGTTTCCCGTTTCTGGAAAGAACAGAGCATATAAGATATTGCCAGAACTTCTTTTGAGCAACAGTATCTCTAGCACCTTCTAAACCCTTGAATGAAAGCTGCTGTACAATCAGGCAGTGTTAGCCTGGGAAATCAGAGGGTTCCCTACTTCCTTCAGGGTACATCCAGCAGGGCAGATGCATTCCCATGCCATAGGAGATAGCTGTGCTCCTTTCCCTCTTGTCAGGTTATCGTGTGTTAGGACATAGTTCAGGTGAATACTGGAAATATACAAGTGTCTCCATCAGCCACATAGTCAATGCCGTCGTCACAGGCTCGAAAATGAATGGCAACAAACTAACATGCCTTATCCTTTAAAAATAATAAAATATCTGTATAGAATGAAATGGCTTCTTATTTCCTGAATGGTGAATGCTCTTGGCTTTCTACAGAGCTGCAATTCTCAGTTGCTGTTGCTGCTCATGTGCCTCAGGAAACTGTAATGAGGTTAAAAAGAGCAGAATAAAGTTACAGCTTGTGGATGATAGGAATCCACACAGAAGGTGATTCTGGGATCTGAAAACAGCACAGCTGGGGGGAGGCTGCACAGGGACTGACTGCTTGGAGCTGGGGCAGAGACAGGGGCCTGAAGAAGGCCTGGCATAGCAGGCAAATTATCTTCCAGAAGAAAGGTTAGGGGGGAAAATGGAAAGAACTATGAGCCAAGTGGAAAGGGAGTGTGACAAAAGGATTAGCTCCTACTTGCACAGAGTATAGTAGAAGTCGAAATGAACTCGGGAACTGTCAGGAAGAGAAAACTGTTTCTCAGAGACTGTTTCAAAGGCTTCCTGAATGCAGACTCCATTTACTTGTTTCTTCCTTTTTCTCCCAAAAAATAAAGGACCTGCTGTGAGCAGAATGTATCTCAACTTCAATAAACACGGGCCTGAACAGAGTCCCAATCTGGAATCCATGCTGGCCGAACTCCTGGAGGCTTGCTGCTACCTGGGTACCATAAAGCTTGAAAGCCAAGCAGGAAGGGGTAAAATCTACAATTTGTCATCAACAGGTAGGTAGCTAATAGTTTAAATTGCACTACCTGCTAATCTTTTTTGCAAAATCAATGTGCTTGTTAAGTCTATATGTTGTTGAACTGCCCATGTCATGTCGTGATTAGTAAGACTTAATCAGGTTGAACGGGTTTTGAACTACATACTCTCAAAAACAGTGCCTATTCTGAGAGTGCATGTGCTTTGTTAAATTGTTAAAGAAAAAAGAATTTCTTATTAAAGGAAAATGTGTCTACATAACTCTGGCTCTCAACTGTTAGCAGCTCTATTACAAGAGCACTTAGGGAATTGGATTTAGTTTTAATTAATAACTCATAACTTTTCTGACAGAAGGGTGTACTTTGAGAATACATTTTAAGTCGACGTTTAACATAAAAGGTGCTGGAAGAACTTTGAAATGTCATTCTGTGGGAAGTGCCAGAGCAGGTTGGGATGTATAGTCCATCTGACCATATCAAACAAAGCCGCTGTTGAATGCCTCCGGCAAGAGTCCCACAGTAGGGTGCCAAACTCCAGCTGGGTCTTTTCTGGAGAGGCTGGGAGCTGTGGTGTGCGAGGTGCCACCTTGCAGGATCTCTCTCCACACATGTGAAACCCCTCCAATGCAGAAGTGCTTGACCTCAACAACTTCCTGCGACAGGGAGTTCCACAGCGAATTGTCTTTGCATATCCTAGTTGTTTAGCTTCCTTCCCTTTGGTTACATTTAGTCTTGTTTTGCGTTACGAAACGTGCACAAAACTTTTCTGCTCTTTTTATCACGTTCCTGTTTGTATTTCTTCCTTTCAAATAGTGCCTGCCTTTGGTCTCTCATAAGCCATATGCAGTCCTATATCAAGCTCTTTAAGTAACGCTTTAGGGGGAAGAAAATAAAAGGGGGGGGGGGGGGGGGGGGGGGGCGGCGGCGGTGGTGGTATTTTTGCACGTTATGACGGATGTAGCACTTTTTGCGTGTCCTGCCCCCCGTCCCTCCGGCTGCGCACGGGAAATCCGTGTAACCATTGACCAGACTGTCAACACGGGCGCCCCGCGCCGCTGGCGGGCGGCGGGAGGAGGCGGCGGCCGCGCCAATGCCGCGGCGGCGGCGGCGCC